CTTACTTAGCAATCGTCCCTAGCTGTCCATGATTATCATGCAACTTTTGCAGGCTCGGCCTCTGCCTACTCTTTCTTGAGTGTTTTGTTCGAATAGCGGCTACCAGCACTGGCGGTGTGGCATCGAGGAAATGTTCGCGGAACAGCATCAATCTTGGCAAACTGATCGACACCCTGCTCACCGACTATGACGTCCATCTGCTTCCCGAATCGGAAGGCGTCAATGTCACTATAGAACTTCATGTTCAGGTAAATTCGAACGTAATCAAGATTTCAGTGTGGCTTGCAGCTCATCTGTAAAAAACAGCTGCTGGAGCTGCTATCAGAAAGCTGTATAGGAAACTTCTCAGTCACTATGGTACCGTAGCATGCCAACAGAAACTTTGTAGTTGATGGCTTCATCTGGATGCCACACGCATTCATTTCTGTTCTTTAAATGTGTAGTGTTCCTTTGCGAGAACTGATCGCTATTTTTGCCTGTGATTAGAGTAAAAAAAGTGGAAATCATAATTCACCTAAAATTGGTAACTTCCCTTCCCATCCTCTTTTCTGAGGTAAAGCGCAACGTCCCCAGCTCCTATCTCTTCCTCTCTGCATGCGCTGCTGTAGCGTACGGGCCAAGTCGCATTAGCCTAAATACCTAAGTCCTAATGAAAACTATATTTACACTTAGCTTTTATAGCGAGCGGCAACTTCAGTGAATGACATTTCGCAGTAAGCCGAAGTTTTACTTTTGTATATACTTTTCATTAGAAACCATTTATCATTATCTTTCATGGTATCTCAAGATCCATAAAAAAGACTGAAAGTAAAAGATGACTTTTCAAAAGATCACCCCCCCCCCCTCCGCCCTCCCCTCCCCGTCTCTATCTGCTGCCCTTGCCCTATTAAAATATAGTGGCCAGTTTTACTTGATATTCACTTTTAGAAACGATAGCTCATTATTTCGAAAAAACCTACATTGATGGCTGGACGAGCTTTCTATAAAAATTCAGTGACATGTGAAGTGAATAGCCGTTGGCATTCTCGGTCCCACTGGAGAATCTCCCAAACAGGCGATGGACAACAGATAGAGACCGAGGGAATATTCCTCGGAGAAAATCGGTTCATACTTTTAATCCTTTTTTATGGATTCTGAGAAAACATGGAACATTATTGTACTTCGTCTTCTCCTGGAGAACTGTTGTGATATCCTTTTTTATGATTAAATATTACCGACTGCAATAAGGCGGCAAGCTAGCTAGCTATCGTTTCCAAGAGAGATTGAGGATCACGCAAGGTGGTCTGCGGCTTATTTAATTGCTTATTTGACGCTCTATACCCTCTTACACTCTGGCAAATCGGCGGATCATCCGAAGAACAATCTTATCCGTTCAAAGATGTCTGGGGAAAGCCAGGGAGCAAATTGCACCGTTTGTTTTTCTTTTGTTGACTGTTCTTATGAACTCCTGGAATTATAATGCGAAATACGGATAGCCGCATTTCTTATGGTTGGCAATGTAAGTTGTAATGTAAGAAACGTATACGGTTTGATAGAATCGAGTGAGCGCGGCTCTATTTTTGAAGGAATTTGGTTAGACCTCTTCTAAACAATCTTCTTATTTTGGTTTTTCTAGGGTGTGTCCGGTATATCAGAAATCACCGGCGATTTTTCATTGGACGTCATGTATAGCGAGATATGGCAAGATCCTCGACTTGCTTTCAAACATCTCAATGTCTGCGCTACGAACATCACGCTGAAGGTAATTTTCCAATACATTGTCAACTTGGAAACCCTTGGGACTTCCCTTGGGATCTTTTCTCCTTTACGTTTCCATTTTCATGTGCTTGTGATGATTCCTTATTTGTTTATTAGGTCAGAAGCAAGAGAAATCGAAGTTTAACTGCACATTTAGGGAACAGAATTTCAGAATGCGGTGCTCATGTATATATTGAAAGGATACAAGCAAAAAAGTGTGACAAAATGCGAGTATTGCGACTCATTTTATCATTGATAACTGCAGCGGTATTTTTGATTTATACCCGTGGGAGACGGGCAGTAGGGACAGTTTCGTGCGGTCGACCGCCTCACGCGGCTGTCGCGGACCACTCGGCCTCAGTTCCAGCTTTCCCCATACGGCTCAATCGCTATGCGATTATTGTTTTTAACATGATTCTACTGTTAGTTCTTTTGTTCCTGCACTTCTTACTTGCTGCTGTATTCTGCCACATTCTTTCACACGCGGCACCACTTTTGCCGCGACGCGACAGTATATACCCTGCCTACCTTATACCCATACCCATCTTTTCGAGGTCGGCTAAATGCTACCGAGCTCCCTTTCTAGAAGAAAGGCACTGACTTGCACGTCGGTTGGCTATCCCATGATTTTGTATATGCAGGTCACATCACAGTGAAACACCACTACGAAGGAATAGGAAGATAAATTAGTGATTCATCCCAAAACGGAATAACGCGAAAGGATTATCCTTCATTCTTCAAAAAAAAAAAACCCCAAATGTGGTCATTACATCTAAATTGTGGCGCATAGTACGTATGGTCGTGGGACCCGATCCCCAACCGGAACGCCCCATAAAAACCTAGTCCTCCTCACGGTCTGTCCATTTATGTCAGCCATTGTGAACTCCCGTGGAGGATGGAGCTAATTTGCTTTCTGCGGGTAACACAAGTCGTTGCACCCATCAAAGTGCATTATAACCAAATACTTGTCGAAGGCGGATGGGCGGAAGCATTCCAAGAAGTGATTGATCGCCGCTAAACAAGGATGGGAGGTAATAGGGTCAGTACCTCTCAAGAGAGGGAGGATAGGTTGAGGTATATTGAGAGGGCCTTTTTAACGTCTTTCCTGTGTTGTAGATTTGTGAAACGGTTTATGCCGACATTCCCGTGCAGATCAGCTCACCTGCGATGAAGTCCAATCCCTCAGGTCGCTGTGGGAGTTGTACTGATGATGATTACTCGACATTTTATCCCTTCTCCACTTTACATCCCGGGGTGTACATATAACATTACGTCGCCAATCACTGAGCAAACTTTCGCATCACTCGGCGTTCTGTTTTTTAGTAGTTCCTCGCTTTCTAGACTGCCATAACTAACGATCAACAAATTTAAAACTATTGCTTACCCATCTCAGTTCCTTTTTGTTGTAGTCTGATTTTCGTAAACGAATCTGGACACCGGACACATGCATTATCAACAGCAAATCGAGTTCTATCCACAGTTCACCGTCTGAGAATACGTTTGTGATTCTATACGAAAATGGGCTCGTCTGGAGCAATTTCAGGTGAGCTGGAATATGGAGAAATTATTTCATTAGCTGAAGCACCTCTTCTCGAAGTTTGTCGATCATACTCTGAATAGCCATAGAAACTCGCAAGAGGCGTACAGCGCATTCAGTTCTTTCACAGAAGGGCTCATTGTCAGTGCAAATTTTTGCTGGAAGGCGCAATTCGTGGGATCAGAATGAGGCTGGTGGCGTTTACAGACAGACAGAGAGACAGACAGACAGACAGACAGACAGACAGACATACAGACAGACAGACAGACAGACAGACAGACAGACAGACAGACAGACAGACAGACAGACAAAAACACAAAAAAACGCTGGCAAGAAGAATCCAGCTCTCTTACTGAGATGAATATGCTTTAGAAGACCGGGTGATTCCAAGATCAAACGGGAATCATTCCAAGATGTGTTAGTACTTTGAATAAGCAAATCAAATAAATGAAATTTGTAACAGCAATGAAATTTCGGGATGTCGCCACTTTTTACTCTTAGCCCTGTTTTTTTTCTCGACTGAGCCTTCTCTCGTACTCATTCAATTCATTACACCCGACTGTATGAAGTTATTGCAGAAATGCATTCTCTTTTCAGGTTAAATGTGAAAACCCCATGTTCCGTAAATCTGAAGGTATGTACTCAACTTCTTGATTTAGGCATTTTTGGGCCCAGGCGCCTATGTATAGAATGCGTTTGACGGTGATGGCGTTCATCTTTACCTTCCAGATGTTTCCTTTCGATTCGTTATCATGTGAGATTGTGTTGGAAAGCTATTCGTTCAATACAGACGAGGTGCGACTGCTTTGGCATGACGTTCCTATCACAATGATGGAAAAGGTTTGGACATTGTCGAGCCTGAATCTCTTTTGAGTGCTTCAGTGCTTCAGAGCTCGGGAGTTGTGAACTTGTGATCGCATCACTGTGACGGTAGGAAACGAAATAAGCCATTATACATTATCTTGACCACCAATGAAGTTATCCAACTGCTTGGCAGTCAATTCAAAGTGGATTTCACCATCAGCAGCCTTTGTGAGGCGTGCTTCATGACCCGCTTGATTAGATGGCTAGGTCAAACTAGAGATTTCATCAAAGTGTTCCATGTGACTTTTTTACTCTTAACATGTTTCCACCTATGAGAGATCTACCATTACTTGTAGAGATTAACCGTGGAATATGAGTTGTTAAGGAGTAAAAGTTCGTCTTCTTTGCAAAAGCGTGAACGAATGGCTGCTACCTAGGTCTAATTGGCTACTTTCGTCTATTACCCTTGAGATCTATTTGCAAAATATTTCTTTAGGTAGAACTGCCTGATTTCGACTTGATTGGTTGGTCAACTGACCATCAGCGGTTAGAATATCCCAACGGAATCTGGGATCGAGCAAAGGTGATTTCTCATCTCTAATTTTTGCTATCAGCGTTCCCTTCCTTCATTTTCATTATACCCCTGACACATAGTAGCTGAAAATGTCACTAGTGAGTTCTGTGACGGAGGTGAGCTCGAACCGACTATTTTTTTGAAAAAAGTGCTTTCAGGTGAAGTTCACGTTTGCTCGGCGTTACGGATTCTACCTTTTCCAATCGTATTTTCCCACATCACTGACGGTTATCAGTTCATGGGTCGGATTCTTTTTTGATGTTCGATCTGTGTCGGCAAGGTAAGAAATGATGGGATCCTGTTTTTCGATTGAAATTGCAAAAGAATTTCATACACGAAGTCGGCCGTGATGGCGCACCCGACTTATTTTCGGGAAATGGAAAACACGGGAAAGTAAGTTAAGAGCTGGAACCTGAAATGAGCCAATAGTGAAATAGAGTGGGTGTAGAAGTTCACGGACCATTTCAGTCAAAGTTACAGTGTGACATTTTTCTGTCCGAATTCCCGTGGCAAGCGGCACTTGATGGCGGCTACGTCCTCATATTATATCAATAACAAGTACGATAACAGTTTCTTGGGTGTATGTCAGTTATTTGACACCGCGGTCCGATGGATGATCCACAAAACCGGCTTGGGCCTTCCTTGACGTGGAAGATCAAGTGTTTAAGAAAGTTTCATTTTTTCAGGGCACTCTCCACGGGGTTTGTCGGGAGGAGGTCGAAAGTCTTCTCTAGATCGAAGTGCCCAGGTAGCAGAGTCTGCCTTTCTTCCTTTACTCCTCCATCATTTGTCCAGCCTCAATGACATGAACATGAGCCCCTTGTGGCCCAAAGCCGAACCATTCTGTGAAATTCAGGCATCCGTCATAGCCCCTTCTGGCCTGAAGTCGAACCGTTCTGTGAGATTCAGGCAAGCTCACTCGATCTGGAATCAGGTTAATTGTATGAGCTGACAAACCAATAAATTAGGTGAAGCTCTTCTTCATCGTGCGTCCCTCTGTTCAAAGATGAAGGC